ACATTGGCTTACATGAGAGTGGCTGTGTGCTTGCTGGGGAGGCAGCAGCTCAGCCCACAGAGCTGGGATGTCTCAGCACTCTACCCTGTGCTGGAGGTATGGAGCATTTCTGCTGTTGAGCCCAGTTGAGAAAGCCGAAGCAGCTAGGATCTAACATCTGTAGAGAAGGTCGAGTCCACGGTAGATGCTAGTGCCTAGGAAGCAGCAACAGCAGGCAGACAGCACACACTGCTTTGCCCTTGGACCCTTTGTATCAGGGCCACCTGCTGGAATGCTGTGCCCACTGGGAGGGTGGATCCTTTCCTCATCAGGTCAGCCTCTCCAGAAGTACCTCACAGGCACACTACAAGTGTGTCCCTGTGGTGATTCTAAACCCTGTTGACAGTGAAGCCTTACCACAGTAGCAAAAACTAACACTCTATGAGCACTGGTTTCCGAGGAGTGTCTTCTTCTAATGCCTTTGACTTAGAACAGTGTTGCCTAGACTTTCTTTGTCTCCTGTGACTTTCCCGTGTTGGCAGGATTTAGATTCTGCATTGAGTTACAGTTTGGATGTTTATGGTGCCACCTCATGACTGGGTGCCCTCTTCATTTTTGATAGAAGTGTTGCATGACATTGACGTTGATTTTTTTTTTCTTCCATTGCTGATTTCACCTTGGTCTGTTGGTTAAGGTGGCATTTGCCTGGTTTCCCATTGTGGAATTATATTTTCCTTTGCAATTACTAAGTATCTTTTAAGGGGAGGCTTCAAGGTTGTGGGCGTTCTTTTTTCCATTGGTTCCCCCCGTCATTTTTACCATCAGGCAATGATTTTTGATGGTTTGAGACAAATTGTCCCTGTGTAGCTCAGGTAGTTAGGGCTTGCTAACTTGCCTAAGTAGCTGAGGTTGGCCTTGAATTCCTCATTTTTCTACCTCTGCCTCCCAAGTGCTGAAAAGACAGGAGTGATCCCAGTTCTCACTCACCATGGAGGACTGGCGTGCTGGTTTTCTCATGTTTATTTCTCAGTTCTGTGTCCTCTGAGAATTAGTGAATCATTATCTTTTCTGACTGCTTTTAAGATTATTTTTCTATTTTATTAATTAATTAGTAAATTGTGTGTGTGTGTGTGTGTGTGTGTGTGTGTGTGTGTTCACACATGAGTGCAGGTACCCAAGGAATCCAGAAGAGGGCATGGAGTCACACACACAGGCAGTTGTGAGTCATCACACAGGGGCTGGGAATGTGGGTTCCCGCAAGAGCCATGCACACTCTTACCTGTTGAGCCTTCTCTCCAGCCCCCATTTTTCTGGGTTTCTTTGAGATAAAGTTTCATGGAGTCTTGGAATATCTGCCTTGATGTACTTTTACAAGATTAGCAGTCATATTTTTAAGTATTGGTCTGACTGCTTTTATTCTCTTGCCTTTCTTGGACTGCAGCTCTGTTTATAGCAGACCGTTTCCAAGTTCCCGTTTTTTTGTATGCTGGGCTCCGCACTGCCTCGTCTTCAGTTTACTGACCGCTGTGCTAAACTCATCTGTTACTGAGTTCTTGTCAGTTACTGCACTGGAGTTATAGGGTTTGTGTTTGGTTCCTTTAACAACCTAGTTTTCTAGTAAACGTCTTTGTTTTACCACTTCCTTCTTGATTGGTCTCACTGTATAGCCCGGGCTGGCTTGGAACTCAGGCTCTTCCTGCCTCCACCTTGGGAGTGCTGGGATTACAGGCACGCACTGCTACACCTGGTTTCCATTAATCAGTTCTCTTGAAGTCTTTTTAAAAATGTTTTATTGGGGGCTGGAGAGAAGGCTCAGTGGTGAAGAGCTTGTATTGCTCTTCCAGAGGACCACAGTTTGAATCTCAGCCCTCAACTCCAGCTCCCCCCCCCACTTGTGGGCTCTCCAGCTCCCAGGCCCCCCCCCACACACACTTGTGGCCTCTGCAGGGAAAATGCACTCACATGTACATGCCTCCATATACGACATACATAACTATAACCAAAAATAATAAATACAGATTTTAAAAAGCAAGATTCATAACTGCAGTCATAAGGGGTTATTTGGGGGGAAATTTTAAAAATAAAATAACATTTTCTTTCATGAACTTATTTATGTGTGCATGCATGTGTGAACATATTGGTGGGAACTCTTCACTCCCACCATGTGGGTCCTGGGATTCAACTCTGTAGTTGTTTTTTTTGTTTGTTTTGTTTTGTGTTTTGTTTTTGTCTCTCTCTCTTTCTCTACTCTTTGGGGGCCTGCCACCCAGCTCCCAAATAAATACATAGAGACTTACTCTTACTTATGAATGCAGGGCTTTAACTTTTTTCTAGCCAGCTTTTCCTAACAAAATTACCCTGTCTACCTTTTGCCTCTGGGCTTTTCCTTTCTCCGATTTATATACCTTTCTTTCCTTCTCCCTCTGACTGGTTGTGTGACCCCTTTTTTTTGCTCCTCCCCTCACTATTCTTTCTTCCTTCTCTCCATATTTCTTCTCTCCTAATATTTACTCTCTGCCTGCCAGCCCCATCTGTCCCTTCTCCTGCCTTGCTATTGGCCACTCAGCTCTTTATTAGGCCAATCAGGTGTTTTAGACAGGCAAAGTAACACAGCTTCACAGAGTTAAACAAATGTAACATAAAAGAATGCAACACACCTTTGCATCATTAAGCAAATATTTCATAGCATAAACAAATGTAACACATCTTAGGCATGGTAGCAAGCACCTTTACCCACTGACCCATCTCATCAGCCCCCTTGAAGTATTTGATAGCTTTTATAACTGGCTTACCAGCCCGATGGTGGTGCACACCTTTAATCTCAGGTGTGGGAGGCAGAGACGGGCAGATCTTTGTGAGTTCAAGGCCAGCCTGGTACACATAGTAAGTTCCAGGACAGCCAGAGCAACATCGTGAGACTCTGTCTTGGGAAAGACAAAACAAGTAGTAAAATACAATACCTGGCTTATCTGTAAGTTTGTTTTCTTACCTTTTCTCCCCTTTGTGGTCTATTTGTTTGTATATTTTGTGATTTTTTTAATTTGATTATAGATACGGGTCTGAATAATTGAGCAGCTAGCTGACAACGGTTTCCTCTGGAGTTCATGCTATTATTGTGTGTGTCTGTGTGTCTGAAGTCTATGGATGTCACAGCATATGAGTGGAGATCAGAGAACAACTTCCCTCCTTCCACAGCGAGTCCCAGGGATTGAACTCAGGTTGTCAGATTTGCACAGCAAGTGTTCTTACCCATAGAACCATTTTACCAGTCAAACTTTGAGCCAGGCATGGTGGCACAGGCCTTTAAACCGAGCACTCGGGAGGCAGAGGCAGAGGCAGAGGCAGAGGCAGAGGCAGAGG